TGCCAAACTGTTGTTGCGTCTGTAGGCAAGACACTTCACCCACATTGCCTAGATGAAGTCTGGTGTTTGTGGCTCATGTGTCTTGAAGTGTCTTGCCTAAAGACACAACAACAGTTTGGCATTTTACAGCTGTAACCGTAAAGTAGAAAACGTGTTGCGTCGCTTCTGTCAGTGTGCCCCAGGGCAACTGTGGCTGTAGTGGTAGTTTATCACCACCGTGTTTGGAGAGAAAGAATGACACGTGAAGCGTTTTAGAGTATCCTGAAAAGCTCTGTATAAAACCGATGCATTATCATTATTAATTACACTTCCAAAGCGAATAGCCACCAAATTGACTGCTGCCTGTTTACCAGCTGCAGACTGATTGCTGGTTTTCATGGCAGAGAACGGTCAGATCTGGTCCGACAGATCTTACATGAGGCTCCATTAAATAATCTTCTTCCCCAAACAACAACAAACTGGTGAATGTGATTGAAAACCGCTCCATGAAAGCTCTCCGTGTCGGTGCTCGTTTCACAGTCAGACCTCCTGGTATTTGCTGGACTCGTGTGTGATGACATTTCGTCAGTGGCTTTTGTTTGCGGCTGTGGAAAATGTGGACGTCGAAGCCAGAGTCCTGTTACTCTGCAGCGTCTGTGGGAGAGACTGAAAGAACAGAGCGAGTCTCGACCAAGTTACCGATGCCACAGAGAAGCACGTCCCGGCAGCAATTTCACCTCCATCCGTCCAGTTCACACAGAAGCTGATTGAATATTCATCAGATATTGAAAGTACAGCTTCAAAACTCCTCATATCTATTACATTACTGGGCTGTTTCTCTGCGGAATCATCAGTTACAGTTTATGCAAATAGTGTAAATGTACTTCTTAAAACATCTTTTGCGAGTGTGGTTTACATAAAGGCATGTCAGACTCAAGCCTGGGAGAAAAATCCGGCCCGTGAGACTAATTTTTATTAAGTGCGTAAGTAATCTTTTTTTGTATAACGCATTTTTACAGACCAAGGTCACCCAAAGCGCTTCACATTTGTTGAGCGTTCAGAGAGTGTTCCATTCTCTCCACGCGGTGATGACGCCAAACAGACCGGCATCAAAGTCTACAACCAACACCATCCACCCATTCATTCACTCATTGGTTTTTTAGCTACACAGACACGCGGAGAACAAGCAAACTTCACACAGAGACGACCTGTTCCGACCGGGATTCGAACCCAGGAGCGAGAGGGCTTTCCACTGTGTCGCCCGAGAGCTTTCTTAGTTGCCCCTGAAATGTTCACAAACGAGTAATTAACCTCTAGATAGGCCAAAGAATTTAGTTTTTTATATGTAACTATCAATCTTTCAGTACATTTTTTTTTCTTAAATCTTGTTAAAAGTTTAAAAACTAGAAAATAATATCCAATCCACTAATACTAAAATAATAGTAAACCACTCCTATGGTTTTACACTTGGCCCCCGTCCAAAATGAGTTAGAGAAAGAGAGACCAGAGAGAGAAGAGTGAGACAACACAGAAAAAGACCAGAAAGACTTATATTTACCGTCATATTTTAATTTAATGAACTATACAGACAGATATACAGATAATTCAGTCCCTGTGCTCCTCAGAGTCCCAGCAGGAGACCAGTCCCTGTGCTCCTCAGAGTCCCAGCAGGAGACCAGTCCCTGTGCTCCTCAGAGTCCCAGCAGTAAGCCAGTCCCAGTGCTGGTGTAATGGTACTTCCTGGTTCTAGTCCGGCCTCGAGCTGCCCACGGGTTTGACACTCCTGGCTCAGAGTTTCACTTGGTAACAATGGGACGATGTGGCTGCTCCTCTTCCCAGGACCGGATTTCCTTTTGTATAAACCTGAGAATAATATTTATCTTTTTAACACACAGTGGTTTGGTGTTAAAGCAGTGTTTGAGTCGTGGGAGCGTCCTCCTCTCAGACCACACACAGTCCTTCTGCACTTGCCCAGGTCCGGTGAGTGGGCAGACAGTGTAACCAGGACGGGTGACAGTCAGAGTGTGACATCACCAAAGTGTTAGCCTTAATGCAGATGAAGTCCATTTGAATATAAGCTAGCTTGAACCAATTACCTTATATGGGCACTTGTTCCTACGGCCGTTTTATGTGTTGCCAAGACGGTTGCTATGGTAAGATGGAGTTCCCTCAATAATGAGTCAGTAGGCATCTGATTGGTTAATTGTTTTATGGCTGGAATTACAATATAAACTCCAGGATCACAATAGTTTACTTTTCAATATATCATCATTTCCGGAGTAGAAATAGCTTCTTTTTTGTGTTCTTTAACCCTGCGGCTTTTATTGTGACGCGGCTAATATGTGTTTCTTCATTTTGGTAGAGCAGAGTCAGAGCAGAGTTTTTGGACTTTTTATTTGAGTACATCAAGTTTTAGTAGCTAAAAGACACTGGTTTATTGTAAAAATAGATGACGGTGAATGAGCTGCGGAAGCTAACATTAAATCATGTTATCTACTCTATCTACAACATTACAACATGAAAATCTGCAACTTATTTTCAAGTGCGGTTTTTTCTGTATGTGGATAAACCGTATTTTCTTTTCAAGTTTACGAGGTGCGGCTTATATACAGATGTGCCTTATAGTCCAGAAAGTACGGTAAGGCAATCGGAGCCAGATTGGAGTTGGAGCAAAACTTAGTTCACAAGCTCTTCCCTACCTGATTGGATTTCATTAAGCGAGCAGCTTTGGCATTGTCCATTTGTATACAGTCTACGGACTTCATATGGCTAGCAGGGTTAGCATTCTCCATCTGACTGCAGTCCACGGACTTCATAAGGCTAGTGGGTTAGCATTGTCCATTTGTATGTAGTCTACGGGCTTCGTAGGGCTAGCATTGTCTATCTGTATACAATCTACGGGCTTCATAAGGCTAGCAGGGTTTGCATCGTCCATCTGTATACTGTCTACGAGAACAATATTGAATCCATTTGCACGAGGAAGTATTATTACAACATATTCCCGCAGTTTTGGAAGAGACAAAACAGGACAAGCATATCAGACAGACAGCCACAGCCAAATGTGACATTGCTTCATATGGACTTACTCAGACACCCATTACTTTGAAATGCAACTTCTCTCAGAGAGCGGAGATACGGCCCATGTGTCAGTGATCAGGAGCAGGATATAAACACACAGCAAAGCCTATTGTTTCTTCAGTTACACGAAAAGAGCCTGAGTGACCGGACAATGGAGCGGAGCGTTCTCTTTGGTCTGCCTTTGCTCTTTGGCGGCGTACCCATCCGTAACACTGGAGCATATGTAAAGCACGGTATGGTCTATGGGAGCTGTCAGCATGTGGTGGCTGTTTTAAACCTTCTCTGGAAAGGGCGGGATGGAAGACGGTTCATGTCGGAGCGGTTACGGTCGCAGAATGTGGTGCGAATGTTCAGATGTGTAGGTTTAGGAGAATCGTTCAAGCGTAGGTCAAGCACTGCGAATGGAAGAGAGAGAAAAAACGGACTTAAATGTGCGTTATGCAAGTTTCCTGGTAAAACCAACCGACCACTAAAGCCTCCAAAGCCATGTTTCCACCAGCTGTATTGGCCCCCCTAAACCCGGGTTTTTTTATCAGCACCTGTGAACTGGTCTACCCCGGTTCTGAGTCCTGGGTCTACTGCCTCAGTCCTGGGTCTACTGCCTCAGTCCTGGATCTACAGCCTCAGTCCTGGGTCTACTGCAGGGGTCACCAACGCGGTGCCCGCGGGCACCAGGTCGCCCGTAAGGACCAGATGAGTCGCCCGCTGGCCTGTTCTAAAAATAGCTCAAATAGTAGCACTCAAGCCTAGTGCGCTGCGCGGAGCTTACGGAGGTGACGTGACGTCACTTGCGCAACGCGTGGATCACATCAAGGCCCTTACGTAGCCTGCCACGCACCCTCGAATACTACGCGGCCAACGCCGCAGACAAGCTCCGCTGTGATTGGTCCGTGTGTGAGAGGAGCTCCGCTGTGATTGGTTCGTGTGTGTGTTTTGGACGGAAGCATGGAGCGGCTGCAGGGAGCACGGACGAGGCACTTCGGAGCAGACCGCTTTGTGCTTCGAAGGAACCGAAGGAAAAGTAGTTTGGTCTCATGGCAGAGCCTGATATAACTTATAAACTGTGCAGTTGTTTCTTTTGCACTGTTCCTGTCTTGTTTGCGTTGTAGCTTATCGCGTCTGTTGCATTCCTACTGCACTTATAGTTCGTGTTTTTCTCAGATATTTACCACTTATTGATTATCTGTTTGTGCTGAATACACTTTAATAATAACTATGTTTCCAACAAGAACTGTGTCTTTATTCACAACATCAGAGTTAAAAGAGTTGAAACGATGAGTTTAGAACTGTCACATAAACCTACAGTAGAAACACATGTAATGATCTCAAACAGCTTCACTGTTGTTTTTGTTCAGAAGAGGAGAAAGTAGCAGCGTAAATGGGACTGCTTTGGTTTCTAAACTCCTGTGAGATCACCATCACGTGTGACGAGAGTTGACTTTTGTATTTTACATGAGTTATTATTTGTATAAACATGGTGCAAAGTTATTCATGATTTGTTAAAAAATGTTAGTGGCTAGTTGGTTAAAATGGGATATTGTGATTTCACAAGAAGTGATCGTTTGAAAATGTTCAATTTGAAAAATGTTGCATATTGATATTTATCTGTTTCTATATATATTTATTGTGAGAAATCGTTAAGATGATCAGTGTTTCCACAAAGATAAATATCATTAATTATTAATATGAACAGAGTTAAAAGTAAATTGAGCAAATTGGCTTTTTCTGGCAATTTATGTAATTGTGTAACAAACTGGTAGCCCTTCGCATTAATCAGTACCGGAGAAGTAGCTCTTGGTTTCAAAAAGGTTGGTGACCCCTGGTCTACTGCCTCAGTCCTGGATCTACAGCCTCAGTCCTGGATCTACAGCCTCAGTCCTGGATCTACAGCCTCAGTCCTGGATCTACAGCCTCAATCCTGGATCTACAACCTCAGTCCTGGATCAACAACCTCAGTCCTGGATCTACAGCCTCAGTCCTGGATCAACAACCTCAGTCCTGGATCCACAACCTCAGTCCTGGATCCACAACCTCAGTCCTGGATCTACAGCCTCAGTCCTGGATCTACAGCCTCAGTCCTGGATCTACAGCCTCAGTCCTGGATCTACAGCCTCAGTCCTGGATCTACAGCCTCAGTCCTGGATCTACAGCCTCAGTCCTGAATCTACAGCCTCAGTCACTGGATTTTTAAAGTCGTTCCTTGGTAGCTTTTTAGAATTTACGTATTTATTTAAAGTTTGTATGCATGGGTGGTTTCTGTTGATGGACATCTGTCTATTTGTCCACAGGAAGGTCTAAAGACAGTGATGATCCAGGACATTTATCAACATTTATGGACAGTGGTCATCCCGTTCCCTCGGTTTGATTCTCTGAACTGTTGTCGTCGAATCAACAACTTCATAAATATCTCTGAGACTGCTGCTGTCTGTTTATGGATTTACAAAAACAAAAAAATCTTGTTTAATTTCAGTTTTACAACACTCTTTCTGTTGAGACAAACTAAGTCTACGAAACGCTCTGAATCACAAACATTGCACTTTTTGATTATTCATACCTATGTTTTGTATTGTGTTAATATTGCACATTTTTACCTTGACCTAAAATTAGATCGCGTCTGCTCCTCGGCTTCACGTCAGCGTCTGTCGGTGTGAAACATGCCAGTGGTAATTGCACGGTGGGCAGCAGGTCTAAAAGGGGGAGAGACCACACACACAGGTGCAGGCCCACAGGGTGAAGACCAGAAGAACCCCCTCCAGGAGACAGAACACAAACCCCCTGAGGACAGGGCTCTGGGGCTGGACCAAAGTCATGCAACGCTTTGGAATATCCTTGTTTTATTCTATACATCTTAAAGTGGTATTTATCTTACTTCTACTTACATATATATATATATATATATATATATATATATATATATATATATATATATATATATATATATATATATATATATATATATATATATATATATATATATATATATATATATATATATATATATATATATATATATATATATATATATAATATATATATATATATATATATATATATATGTACATAAGCTATAGCAGACTGTTTTATTTATATTTACTACTTTGGTCTTGGTGCCGCACTTAGCACTGAGGCAGAGTAGGGTAGGTTTAGGTAAGGTAAAGTAGGGGAGGTTTAGGGTAGGGTAGTGTAGAGTAGGTTTAGGGTAAGGTACAGTATAGGGTAGATTTAGGGTAAGGTAGAGTAGGGTAGGTTAGAGTAGGGTATGTTTAGGGTAAGGTAGAGTAGGGTAGGGTAGGTTTAGGGTAAGGTAGAGTAGGGTAGGTTTAGGGTAAGGTAAGGTACAGTAGGGTAGGTTTAGGTAAGGTAGGGTAGGTTTAGGTAAGGTAGAGTAGGGTAGGTTTAGGGTAGGGTAGTGTAGAGTAGGGTAGGTTTAGGTAAAGTAGAGTAAGATAGGGTAGGTTTAGGGTAAGGTAGAGTAGGGTAGGTTTAGGGTAGGGTAGTGTAGAGTAGGTTTAGGGTAAGGTAGTATAGGGTAGGTTTAGGGTAAGGTAGAGTAGGGTAGGTTTAGGGTAAGGTAAGGTACATTAGGGTAGGTTTAGGTAAGGTAGAGTAAGGTAGGGTAGGTTTAGGTAAGGTAGAGTAGGGTAGGTTTAGGGTAGGGTAGTGTAGAGTAGGTTTAGGGTAAGGTAGTATAGGGTAGGTTTAGGGTAAGGTAGAGTAGGGTAGGTTTAGGGTAAGGTAGAGTAGGGTAGGGTAGAGTAGAGTGTATATGACAGAGCTGACAGTAGCTTCCGAAAAGGGACATGCTACAAATATTGTCCATTTTAAGGTTATGTTTTGGCTGATTCAAGAGAAAATTATTTTTTTAAATAATTTTAGCTCTTATGAAGAAGGAAAGATTCTGGCTCTGATGCGACCAGATAAAAAAACACATCATATGCTTCAAACCATGTAGCATAGTACTTTTAGACCATAAGGCGTGTCTGCACATAAGCCGCACCACCTACATTTGAAAAGAAAAGACTTTGTCCTCATATAGGCCGCACCTGATTATAAGCCACTGGTTTCCAAGTTGTTACGTAGCAGATAAACTTTTAGCTGGACACAACTTGGTGTTTACATGCCTGGAATTATTCTCCAGTCTATTTTGACAATAAACAATTTTCTACAGCTACTTAAATGTTCTTAAATTCTGCTCCGACAACTCTACCACGATACAAATACACATATTAGCTGCATTGCTATATAAGCCGCAGGGCCCAAAGCACTAGAAAAAAAGTATTGGCTTATAGTCCGTAAATTACGATATTTGTTATATTGATATATGTAAAATATGTGTTGTGCAGGTCCAAAATATATACGCATTTAAATAAATAATCTATTGTCTACCACAGTGTATCCCAAGCTTTTTGTAGCCGTGGCACACCTTTCTGGTTGAAAACACTCACATGGCACACCACCGGCTGAAACTGATACAAACATGAAACTTTGCAATTTTTAGTATGAAAGCAAAGTCATTCTAATCAAGGTAGATATATATAGAAAATTAAATGAGCTCAAAAAGTCTTTCTAATCTTCTCACATAAATTTCTTTTCACATTATTTTGACCAATTATGTGATATTGGAATATTTCCCAAGGCACACCAAACAACATCTCAAGGCACACTAATGTCCCACGGCACACTGGTTGAAAAACACTGGTCTACCATGTTATCATTTGCTGCATGGAATCCCCTACACACTACACCTACAATATACTGCGTAGGTCAAACCCTATACCTGCCAATATGTGAATTCTGTGGTCTGAAGTGATGTTGGCAATCAGAGAACGTGTGTTAAAAGCACAATGCGACATCACAAGGAGGTGAGTGCATTTATGAAGTGCTAAGTCATGGGCTTATCCTTGCGGCCAAATGGTTTTTCTTCTGCTCTTTTCACGATAAAACAACAAAGCAAGGTGTTTCTTTTCCAGGCTCAGCTCTATCCCAACATGTTTCCTTTCCCCCTCATCCTAAATTACACATGCAATCAAATTAACCATGGCGTTCACACTGCTCCATTCACACAAACGCTTCTCCCCACCTCACCTCTCTCTCTCTCTCTCGTCTGGTCGGAGAAAACCGCAGGCCGGGGTCACTGCGCTCTCCCGCTGCCAAACCAGACCCATATAATTTTGCTTTTGTTTCAGATGGAGCCTCGAAAAGCTTGAAATATAAAGAGCCAGTCCAGCATGGGAAGGTCATGTGTAAAAGTATACATCGGCGGACATAATGAGAGTCACCGGGAAACGATTGGTCGAGGAAGTCTTTATCGAAACAACCAGGAAGTCCAGGATGTCTTGCCAAACCGCCGGGCATTACTGACCGCAGATACTGGACCCACGGACACTGCAGGCCTGAACCTGAACCGTCTGTGCAATAATGTGAACCAATGTTAGAATCTGCAATTTAGAATCACATGTGTCACTGTCACTTTACTTTTATACTAGCTTCTTTATTATGCTAAAGCTAGAGATTTTATACTAGCTTCTTTATTGTGCTAAAGCTAGAGATTTTATACTAGCTTCTTTATTATGCTAAAGCTACAGATTTTATACTAGCTTCTTTATTATGCTAAAGCTAGAGATTTTATACTAGCTTCTTTATTATGCTAAAGCTAGAGATTTTATGCTAGCTTCTTTATTATGCTAAAGCTAGAGATTTTATACTAGCTTCTTTATTATGCTAAAGCTACAGATTTTATACTAGCTTCTTTATTATGCTAAAGCTAGAGATTTCATACGAGCTTCTTTATTATGCTAAAGCTACAGATTTTATACTAGCTTCTTTATTATGCTAAAGCTAGAGATTTTATACTAGCTTCTTTATTGTGCCAAAGTTAGAGATTGTATTTTTAAATTTTGTATAGAGTGATTGTTCATTTATCCTCATTAATCTTAATCTTCTGGACATGTTCTCTCCATAGTCTTCTTCCAGCTTAAACCGTTAGCCCGAGCGTACGCTAGCACAATGCCTTCTCATGCGTAACCTCGTTAAATGACTCATGTTTTGTCTGCGTCGTGTGGCCATTAACCTTTTCCCTCTGAAATCGATTCTATATTCGATCGCGTGGGAGGACACGGCTATAAAAATACACATGTAGAAACGGAAATCGGAACGACACATTGGTCAGTGCCCGACGTGGACTCTCAAAGGTCACCTTCTGTCTCCTGGTGTTTCAGCCCAAAACCACACGTTTGAACAAAAACAAACTCACCTCGGCTTTGGACGTCAGCCGGAGTTTTCTTCGTCTCTGACCTCAGGAAGCAGAGCCGGACCACTGTTTGGGAATGACACAAGACCAGGCCGTGTGCAGTCCCAGACCCGGGTCTCATGGGTCTGAGAAGAGAGAGAGAAGGGCTGGGTTTGGAGCGGCTCCTGAGGACACATTTGCTGGGGTCACTTTTGACGATAATAATAGGAGGAGGTTGATTTCATGACCTCCAGGACCCTTACCCACTTTATGCACACTTTAAGATTCTCCCATCTCGCCACTATAGGCAGCACTAACGCTTTTATTTTGGTCACGTGCCATTTTCTAAACCTCGTTATCTCATTACTCTTCTATCACACATTCATTACTTACTGTGTTAAGATTAAGTTTTAGAAATATGTTATTCGTCCCACAGGGAAATGTCAGTGTCAAAACAACATCTTTTGCCTCCTGGTTGTGTCTCACTCAAACTCAGCTTGGTAAAATCAGGCAAGTCGAACTCAGGCCCGTGGACAAAATTTGGCCCGCAAGACCACTTTTTTTTGGTTCCTTAAATGATTTACAATTATCATTATCACAGTAACTTGCAGCATTGATGGTGATGGTCTACTATGGCATGTTATACTTCATTTTAAAGTCTATTATCTGGGAAAACAACCATACAGTCCCCCTGATTTAAGTGGTAATGTGTCCTTGTAATAGCCCTGAAAAGGGGATAAAATAAAAATAAGACCAGGACACGTCTTTCCTCAAGCCTTGCTGGTTTATGAATGAGGAAAGACGTAGCCTAGGTGAAGCTCAAGAGCGTCTCCCCCTGCTGGACACTCCACGTAACTGAATTAACAACTAAAATCATCTGGTTACACACTCCCCCACAAAAATAAATGTTGTCCGCAACATTTCCGTAAGTAGTTCTCCGAGTCACAGGTACAAACACAAAACACATAGAACCTGCAAAAGCATGAAACAACTGGTTGCATCCTCAAATTACCAGTGAGTAACAATAACAAAACATTAACCTTAGTACCAAAACAATTGTCCAATTTGAATTTGGTTCAAATCAAATCCCACAAAAGTAAGAGTTTGTGTTGCTATTACGAGAAAATTGGCACATGCCATGCAGGAGGCCCATAAGGTGTAACTGCATCAACATAATAGCATGACGGAGTCCCGAGTGAGTCATATCTGAACATTCTTGGCGCCCTACGTCTTCTTTGTGGGCGTGGAGCTTCTCGCTGCAGCTCTTCTTCCTGCGCACTCCCAATCGAAGACCCCTCCACATCGTCTGCATCCTTTTCCGGCACATCCACACTTCCAGCGGCGTCCTCAAGCCGAAGCAGGACAGGTTCTGATGGTTGATTAATGTTAGGCTCACAGTCATTTTCTGTCATATCCGGCTGTCCTTGTACAGTTGACACTGGGAAATAGTACTCGTCTTCTTCATCCTCAAAATCTTGTGTTGAAGTTTTCTCCACAATTTTGTCCTTTTTTGGTTTCACAGGTGAAGGAGTTTTTATTTCCGGTGGCAAGTGATCACAGGGCAAAAGTAGATTCCGGTGAAGTATCCTTGTTTTGCCTTTTCCGTGCTCTGGACTGAGCTCATACACTGGGACATCCTTTCCTACTTGTCTGACTACAATGTGGACGTGATCTTCCCAGTGATTTCTCAATTTTCCCGAGCCACCGCGAGGTGTCATATTGCGCAGCAGCACTCGATCACCTGGACACAACAGAGAGCTTCTCACTTTTGCATCAAACGTCTTTTTGTTTCTTTGAGCAGCTTTTTGTGCATTTTCCTTTGCAATGTTATATGCCTCCTGCATTCCCTTGCGCCATTCGTCCACATATTCAAGTTGACTACCCCTTCCCGCCTCAACAGGTAAGTCAAACAACATGTCAATGGGTAATCTTGGTGAACGACCATACAATAAGTAGAAGGGAGAAAACCCAGTTACTTCTGTTTTGATGCAGTTATAAGCAAAGATCAACTTATTTAAGGAGTCTTTCCAGTTTAGTTTGTCTTTGTCTGTGAGAGTTTTTAGCATCTGCAACAATGTTCTGTTAAAGCGTTCTACTTGTCCATTACCCTGCGGGTGGTATGGAGTAGTCCTTGATCCAGTAACACTACAATACTTGCTTAACTGAGAGAACAGATTGTTTTCAAATTCACCACCCTGATCGTGATGAATGCGTGATGGGAATCCAAATTTTAGTGCATAGTCATTGAAGATTTTATCAGCTACAGTTTTGCCGGATTTTGAGGTGGTGGGGTACGCCTGCGCAAATCTGGTGAAATGATCAACTATGACCAATATGTACTCGTACCCACCTCTACACTTGTCGAGATGGAGAAAGTCCACTGACACCAATTCGAATGGCTGAGTTGTCACAATGTTCACGAGTGGCGCCCTAGATTCCCTGCTGGGCTTTTTCTGTTTAAGACAAGCACAACTCATTACATATAGCTCTATGTCCCATTGCATGTGCGGCCAGAAAAAGCGGTCTCTCACAAGTGACACAGTCCTGTCCGTACCCTGGTGCCCCATGTTGTTATGTAGTTCCTGTAATACAGTCATTTTGTGTTCTTCAGGCAGCACCAACTGTTTCCTGTGGGCTGTTTCTCTCCACAAGACTCCATTTTTATCCAGATGTAACCTGTCCCATTCGCGTAGAAGGACTCGGCTCTGTGCACTACAGTCTTTCATTTGTTGATTCGTGGGTTTCTTTTTGGACAATTTAAATGTCAATACTCGTCCAATATTTGGGTCAGTAGATTGATCATTTTTCAGCTGTGCAGGTGTTAGTGAGACAATAGGGATACTTTTACAGTCCAAAACGTGGTTAACACTAATACCCATTGACCAAGATGCAGTGGATTCGGGCATCTCCACAGCTTGAACTGTAGTACCAACAGCATCATAAGACATTTCCTCAGTACACTGTTTCATAAGTTCTTCAGCATCTATTGGCATCCTTGACAATCTATCAGCATCAATGTTTTCTTTGCCGGGCCTGTACTTAATAGTGAAATTAAAGTCTGCTAATGCCGCAACCCATCTACTCCCTGTGGCGTTAAGTTTTGCACTGGACAACACATATTTCAAGGGATTATTATCACTGTAAACTGTGAAGAAAGGGGCGTAGTACAAATAATCCCTAAACTTTTCTGTGATGGCCCATTTAAGGGCTAGGAATTCTAATTTCCCAGAGTGCAGATGGTAGTTTTTTTCTGAAGTTGACAATGTTCGAGAGCCGTAGGCAATGACTCGAAGATTTTCATTTTGTTTTTGATACAAAACCGCTCCTAACCCTTTGTTGGACACGTCGGTATGGAGGATGTAGGGCTGTGAATACTCCGGATACGCAAGGACAGGTGGGTGTACTAAGCAATCAATAAGTGTTTCAAGAACGATTTGGTGAGCATCAGTCCAGTCTATCTGAGTGTTAGACGGCACTATATCTGCCCTTTTCTTGTTATATTTCTTGGTCTGTGTCTTTGTTTTTGCCCGAGTTCTTTCTGCCGGGTGTTTGATGAGCTCATACAGGGGACTGGCTATTTGAGAAAAGTTTTTAATGTACTGTCGGTAGTAGCTCAACAGTCCCATTACCTTTCTTAGTTCCCCCACCGTCTTCGGTTTTCTGTCCTTCAGTACTGTTACTGCAGCAATGTCAGAGGGATCTATCTTGTTTCCCTCGGCCGAGACTATTCTTCCAAGGTAACGGATCTCGGGTTTAAAAAGCTCACACTTACTGGGCTTTAACTTTATCCCATGTTGTCTAAGTCTCTGCAGAACGTTTCTTACATCTCCAACATGGTCCTCAAATGTCTTACTAAATACTATTGTATCGTCCAAATAAGGGACACAAATCTTGTCTCGAATGTCTTCTAAGCACTCCTCCATACATCGCTGAAAGGCCGCAGGGGCATTCATGAGCCCAAAAGGTATCCTAGTCCACTCGTATAAACCCCATGGTGTCACAAAAGCTGTCAAATGTCTGCTGTCTTTCGCCATAAACCCTTGGTGATAAGCTTTTCCTTGGTCAAGTAGTGAAAACACTTGATTACCACCAAGACCATCCAGAATGTCTTGGATTCTGGGAATCGGCTGTCTGTCCGGGTGAGTCTTTAAATTAAGCTCCCTATAGTCTATACATAGCCTAAGTGAGCCATCTTTTTTTCTTACACACACAATGGGTGAGGCATAAGAGGAATGTGACCGCTCTATCCATCCTTGTGCAATCAGATCGGTCAGATAGTTCTTCATTTCTTCATACAGTGGTTTGGGGACAGACATATAGGTTCGTGCAACAGGCTCTGAGTCTTTGAGTGATATTTTTAACTGTACGTTCTCAATGCATCCTATGTCACTATCTGATTTTGAAAATGATTTGGACTCTTCCCTGAGCATCTCACTGACAATCTGTCTCTGTTTTTCGTTGAGGTGGCTAAGGTCAACTGGCGGGTCCCACAATTCTGTTTTTGTCTCTCCCCCACCTACATGTTGAGCCTCAATATTATTTATTTGAGCAACTGTCTCTTTTTCATTGGTAGTACTAACTGGGTTTACAGAAGTAACTGTCTGCGCCGTACCTATAGTCGTTTTACCAGTCAGCAATATGTCATGATCAGTGGGATTTTGTACACTGAGTATAATGTTTGGATGTGGCCCCTTTTTTACTATAACCAATGTATCATAGAACTGCAGCCCTTCAGGCCAGTGAGGATTATCATCTGGCTCAAAAACAAGTGTGGTGTCCTCTTTAAAGGGTTTGGTCCACACTCTACATTTAACTTGGAATGCAGTACGCCGAGGGATCAGTACTTTTTGGCCTGCTGTTTTAACAAGGTACTCACTTATCCTGTTCACACTGACTGCTTGAATAAATGTTCTTACAGTCTTATGCTTTAAGTTTGGGAAATCTGTCTTTACAGTATTTATTAACCTGTCTTTGTCACTCTGAATTTCTTGTCCACTGATAACTATCCGCTCAATTACATTAAAGCCTATTATTGGGCGGAGCTGCTGGTTACCTTTTATGACTAACATAGGCACAAGAAACTCCTCACTCCCAGAAGCTAACTGAAACTTGACTTCAATCCATCCCACATAAGGCATTTCAGTACCATTGGCCGCTTCAATTTGTAAAGGATCATTTGGATCAACTAGTTCTGTTATGTGTCTCAACTCTATGCCGGGCAGGTATGTGGTTTTCCATCCCTCATCTACAGCAGATATTTGTGACCCCGTATCCCAAAGGGCCTGAGTTGTGATGCCCTGCAGACTGCAGTTAATTAGACACTTCTTTCCCACAAGTTCAGTTACTGTTGGATGTTTCTCTGTCAAAATATTTTGTTTGTTTGTTCCCGCACCATAGGAATGTGTTGTTGTTTTTACTAGTTTAGTAGGTGCAAATGGTTTACAGTTTTCCCTATGCTCAGGCCAGTGGCTAATCTGGCACTTACTAGAACAGTAAAGCACTACTTTGCACACTGAGCATTGCTGAAGGTTTTGATCTGTTCCCTCTGTCCTACAAGTAATGCATGTTTGGGACTGTGTTGACACACTGGTTACTCCCTGTCCCTTGGGGGTAACCGCTCTCCGTTTAAATACTGGCCATGCATGTTGTTGGATGGCATATACCCCCTGCATCCTGCTCGGAAGTGCTCACTGCTCCCGCACCGAAAGCAATGCTGGCAGAATTCTTCTCCCCGCTCACGGCAGCTGGAACACCTTGGTCGAGGGCGTGGCGCTGGAAACCGCTGCGGTGCATAGCCCTGCTGGAACTGGGACGTACCCGCGTTGATCCACGGACGGTGGGTGGGGCGGTACCTCAGCTCCGGGTCTTCAGGTGGGCGGCGGTCAGCCGATGCATACTCAGTGCCCCAAGATCTGTACTGTGGCTGATAATGGGGCCGGTGGAGAACTACTTGATCTTCGCTCCCATACGGATGGGGTGTATTCTCAGTTTTTTTGATTGATTCTCTAATTTGCGTCACTTCCGCCTTCAGGTCTTTTAAGAGTACAATGTCTGCTTTTATTTCTTTTAGATCAGACAGTACCTCCGGATGTAGTGTGGCAGCACTTGGTCGAGTTGTGTACTTCTTGCCTTCATCAGTGGAGTCACATGACTGGACCGCGTGCACCGTGGTTTGGCGTGATAAAGTCTGTCTCTTTTTGTCTTGCCTTTCTTTCTCATTGCCACAAGCAATGTTGACACGTTCCAGGAGCAGTTCATCAGCAGTAGATGTTTGCATCAGATACGGCTGGAGATCTGTCTTGATATTATCGTTTTGCAATCCAGTAAGAACTGTATGCATGAACAGGCTCTGTACTAATGCAGGATCATACTTAAGGCCAGACTCAGCTTCCTGTGATACAAATAGTATTTTCTGTCTCAAATCCATCGTCCTAATGATAAAATTTTGTGGAGTCTCTTTACAGTTTTGCACTTCTGCTGCGAGCTGCTTATATAACTCTGTTGCACTTCGTTCTTGATAGTGTGAGCGCAGAATTTTCCGGAGTGTTGGCAGAGTCAAGTCATTTTTACCCTCCAAGTAGCTCCGCAGCTGAAGGCCGGGGACGACAACTCTAACCACAGCATCAACTATTTCTAATTCAGGGTAACCTTTAGTGAGACTACTCTCAATTTGGCGGGCGAGGCTGGAGAAGGTAAGCCTGTCTTTTTGCCCAGGTTCACCAATTTGCCCTGAGATTTTTAAATCTTTTCGCCACTGCACAGGGTTTGCATTAGCGGTGGCGTAAACTGACCCATGAACACTATTCACTGTCATGTCCGTTGGATTTGCCTTTACATTTCCTTTTACTTCAGCTTCCTTTTGCTGTACCATCAATTTTAAATGTTCTATTTCTCTCATTAACTTGTCTTGGTCTTCAGCCTCTTTGATTGTCGTTTCAGGTTCTTCTGCTGGCTGTTGCAGTGTCTTTATTGTGTCCAGTAAACTCAACATCTCCGACATACCTTCATCTTCCAGGGTGCGCAGTTCATCACGCTCAATATGCTTGACAATATGTGACGATAAGGCATTGCGTGTTTTTCCTTTTACATTTTCTTTATTATGACCAGATATCATGAGAAAGTCACATATTTGTATTAAATCACTGGCTGCAAGTTGGTACAGCGCTGCCTTGATCTCAAACTGCAAATTTTCCATTTCTGGATCCATTTCAGATAAACGGACCTATTGGATGTTGTTGGCCTCTTTTTTTGCTGCTCCCTGGTGGACAGTTTTTGCACTTCAAGAAGATCGCTTTCCGACCGCCAGACCCATATTTTCAGACCTCACTCGAGCCGCGTTTCTTCTTACTCCTGGCTGGGTTTATTTTATTTTTTTATTTTATTAGAAAAAGAGATGATTGCAGTGTAGTGGCTTCCTCTGTCACAGGTGGACCAGCCCACACAATCATCCCAGCGGTGCCTCCAAATGTGCATGTCAATACCCAGGACGAGAGAAAGAAAAAATATGGCCTCTGAACCAACTAAAAAAGAAGTTCACAGAAAATGCAGCAACGGAATTGCAACAAAGTTTTTGTTGGAAGGTAGTCTGACATATTTCTGAATGTGTCCTTGCAACTCGCTCACTTTCAGTTGAGATGACAACTTGCTAACCAAGTGTATACCCAACAGCTCTGAGTTGAGTGGATATTGATAAAAAGGTTGCATCACCTCAAACTCTTTAAAAACAATGTATACTTTGCCCAAAGACAAAAAAATGTTTTGGACCAAAGCAATACGGTCTGCTATCTTCACACAATTATCACTTTCACTTGTTTTAATCGTGGTGCCACTTATGATGATTTCTTCAAACTGTGCAAGGTTTGGTTCCATGTGTGCTTTTGGTACCGGTCCACGGGTGTGTTCCCTCAGCAACTGGCTCTTCTGTAAAGCATCTTTTTCAATTAAACAGTTCTCAATTTCTGATATCCTCCTAACAATCTGGGCTAGTGGACGGTATGGACTCCGGACCAACTTTTTTATCTGGCCTAGATGGTTCTCAAAAGGAAATCCAGATATGACATCCAAATTGCCATGAACTGCCACATCCTCTGGCAAGTGGACAAGGCCATGGACATTATAGGTGACAAATTCTGGCCCATAGAGCTCCTGGAAATGTTGCACAAAAGACACCAGTAAACGGGAAGCCAAATCGTTAAGCTTGAAACAAAGGGAGGGGCTGGCCAAAATGAAAATGGCTACTGACAATAACATAAAGTTGCCATAGATGGCAGGATGAAGCTGACGATGAAGACACACCGGCCCTGTGTACAGCAAAAACTGTCGCAACTCTGTGGCTTTCCACCTCAGTCTGTCTACAAGACTCCGGGGCTTGCGTGCAAAATCCATGGGAATAAAAGGTCTTAAACCAATTAAATCCTGTGAAATCCGCTCCATTTGATTGTATGACATGCGACAGGAGAAAGGGCCAGAAAACCACAGATTCAAAAGTCTGCGCATTACTCCAAGACAGACAAGGTGCATATAATCGTGTGGAAACCCTGATACCATTCCAATGCCTATGAACCTTAAAGGTGAGCTGGTGACATGGTGGTTCTCATCACACATCTCTTCAAAGGCTACGTCAGAGCGACGTCTACAGTTCACCTCAGGAAATGTCATCCTGTGTTTGACATAAACCCCCTTCTGCTCACACTTATCACACCCCGAGTAGCCTGTGTGGCTTTTTATTCCTTTGATAAAAGCCCTGGCTGGAGCATCACATATTACAGAGCCCAGTTTGATGATCCACTGCTTGCCACACATGGCAAATCCTCTGCTCAGTTGTTGCAACTCGGTTATGATATCTTCTAGGTATGCGGTGAGACACTTGGGTTTTGAATTCCCACAAAAAAGTGCAATGACCACAGGTTTCTTTGTCACACCATCTAAAAGGCCAAGGATGGGCCAAAACTGCGTGGACGAGCTTCGAAACAGGGGTAAGCCATCAATATTAATTTTTAAACTGAACACATGGTTGTCTGGGAAACAGGAGGCCATTCTTTCTAAGCTTTTCCCAAAGGCTTGTAATATGCCAAAATAATAGTAGGAGCCACCTGCAAGCTCTTTAATGTTGTATATGGTGGCTGTTTTCAGCAGAGTTCTTGCATCAAGGGGCAATGAAGGATGATGACATCGAAGGATGCTAAGGAGGGCACTCAAAGCTACTAGGCTAATCTTGAATTGCACAGCCCAATCGCACAAAGCCTCACATAAGGGTATGTTACTACCCATTTCACCCCCATTGGACTCGCTGTCCTCCTGTGACTCGCTGCCCTGCTGGGAGTCACTGTCCCACTCAAACTCAATTTCATTGCAATTATTGTTCTTCTCTGGAACATTAACAAATGGATCTTCATTGTCAAAAGAAGCATAGAAAGAGCCTACTTTTTTGACGGCCCTCTTTCGTATTGTGTGCCTGTCCATGTGTATCCGTACCTCAAGTTGTAAATCTAAGAACAGAAGAAATAGAAGTTAGTATTCTTAACTGTTTGAATTACACAGAGGAATTGGCAATAAACTGCCAATTAAACGGTTTATACAAATGTAACCAAACTTTTTTCGTTTTTGTTTCAGGAGTCAAGACGATTGTGAAAATGACTTGATTTATTGTAAAGAAGATCTTTTATTTATATAAAAAGTCTAAACCAAGCAATTTTCTCCAGTTCGGCTTTATAAAAGCCGAACTGGAGAAATCAGGCTAGAAATTAGATATTAAAAAATCCCTCTGAAAAAACCTTCAAAATATTGTTAAGTCCAAGACTGGAAAGTTTGGAGTCTGTAGGACCCGAGTGAGGCTTTATCCCCCCTTTATCAGAGAAAACGACCTCTCGCTCCGCTGTTTCCATGGTAACGATAAACTATTGATCTGAAACTATAGCTTCAGGTAAACCAGCTAAAAAAGTGAAATAACTCCTGCCCAAATGAACAATTTGTTTGTGACACCATAGGCTATAAGTGGGATAATCTTCAATTATCAGAAATGGATGACTTCGCAGAAAATAAACACCCCGGTAAAGTGTTGTATTTTTGGAACCCACTCGTTAGTAAAAAATATATTGAGCAGAATGTTTAAATAAACTATTGTAAAACCACTTAACATAAAATGACTGGCATAGTAAGAGAACTATGCCCGACTTGGGCCGTTAGGCTATTCCAAGATAGATGGTAATGTAAAAGTGGCTTTAAACGTGCACCTATGCCAATACAACTCTTTAGTGGATGACTATAAAACAGTTTATAGTACAACTATAAACTTTAAAGTAAATATACAGTAGAGTTGGTGGAGTCACCTACCTACAGTTGCAGAGACCGCTGAAGAGATGGAGATAAATCGCGCCTTCTGTCTTCACGGAGGAGATGACAATCGGCGCACACAAGATAAAACGGAACTGCGGGGACGGTCGCCGTTTTGACCGCGAATATCAATCGGCGGCTGTTGGTCAGCAAGTAGTTGAGCCGATGACCGATGGATATAACCGCGAATTTGTCATGGGTAACGTCAGTAGGAGAAGAATCTGCGTAACTTAGAAAATATGTGTTTTAAAATTTAACGCACTAATTTAACACTGCCTACACTCTAAGAAATGATGTGTTAATTATTAACACATGTTATGTGTTACTACTGTTTTAACACATGTTGTGTTAAAATATTTGAAAATTGTGTAAAAAATGCGAATCATAACCGTCACAAGAGCTACACATCACTGTGTTGACCTAACAGCCAATCAGGTTCAGAGCTACACATCACTGTGTTGACCTAACAGCCAATCAGGTTCAGAGCTACACATCACTGTGTTGACCTAACAGCCAATCAGGTTCAGAGCTACACATCACTGTGTTGACCTAACAGCCAATCAGGTTCAGAGAGCTACACATCACTGTGTTGACCTAACAGCCAATCAGGTTCAGAGCTACACATCACTGTGTTGACCTAACAGCCAATCAGGTTCAGAGCTACACATCACTGTGTTGACCTAACAGCCAATCAGGTTCAGAGCTACACATCACTGTGTTGACCTAACAGCCAATCAGGTTCAGAGCTACACATCACTGTGTTGACCTAACAGCCAATCAGGTTCAGAGCTACACATCACTGTGTTGACCTAACAGCCAATCAGGTTCAGAGCTACACATCACTGTGTTGACCTAACAGCCAATCAGGTTCAGAGCTACACATCACTGTGTTGACCTAACAGCCAATCAGGTTCAGAGCTACACATCACTGTGTTGACCTAACAGCCAATCAGGTTCAGAGCTACACATCACTGTGTTGACCTAACAGCCAATCAGGTTCAGAGCTACACATCACTGTGTTGACCTAACAACAGCCAATCAGGTTCAGAGCAGCAGCAGACACTCATCTGTCTTTTGAAAACCGGACCAGAGCGAGGCTGCCCCATGGATCTGGGCTGCCCGCGTCAACAAAATAAGGTAACTATTATAATATAAATAAGTATTAATTCTCATTACAGTGTTGTCTGCTTTGCTATATGAGCCGTGCAGTGATTAACACGATGAAAGAGGTTTGTGGGAGTCACTTGTTCGTTTTTATGTTAGCTTTCTATTGTGGCTAAGGAGCGAGCTTGTTAACGGTCTGTGCTAAACGTAACGTTACTACATTTGATATTAATTGGTGGGCTTGTTTAAATGGATCATACAAGATGCCAGCGTGACTATTCTGTGTTCCTTGTGGGCTGAAACTGGCATTAAAGTGGCGCAATGCGTCGGCTATCTGGCGCTCATTGGGCTACTAGCCACGCTAGCCTTGACATCGCTCTCGTCTAACTTGTTAGTTAACCCTAACCAGACGAAGTGAGTAGCTGTGGTTAACACTTAACGATGTAATCGATCAAGATATGTGGGGATAACTGATCTGACAGATCATTTATCAATAATTGCGCGAAGTTGACCCCCGCTTTCGTAGCTCTGTTTTTCCAGGTTAGCCACTCGGATGTGGTAGTGCTAACCCAAAGCATCCAATAGATTCATGGTGCGGGCACACAGTTTAGAAATGCTCATAAGAGGACCGTAAATGTGAAATGGCCAATGCTGGCTTTATATGTGATATTTGAGGTGAGTGCGGTGTTCACCCTGTCATGGAAGCAGGAGGCTAGCGTTGAGTTTGAGGGCTGCTGCGGAAGCACGAGTAAACTGAGCCGTTTTATTGCATACAAGATATACTTATGGTAATGAATTCTTGCTCGCGTAGTTGATTATTGCTTACATTTTCCACTAGTCTTGTAAATTTTAACGAGCCTTTTTAAAATATTTTAGATAACCCGTGTTTATGAATTTCATGATCTGTAATTTAAATAGCTATAATACATACATTATAATTTAGCATTTGTTTAAAGATGCTTAATTTGGCGGTGTGTGCAGTTTGACAGGTAAGAATATATACATATTTTTTTTATTTTGTTCTTTTTTTCCCTGTCAGATGGAGGAGAATCCCAGATCTCTTGTGACTATTGTGCTGGATGACAAAGAGATTGCCAAAAGAGTTTACCATCTCAACACAATTAAAGAACTGATTGATAAAAGCACAAGCTTTTTAACAGACAAAGCCGACTTTCATTCTGTTCAAATATACAGTGAAGATTTTAAGGAATTTATTGATGCGGATGTCAATGTACTTGTCCAGAACCTTGACAAATACAGAATTTCATTTAAATCATACACTTCGGAATATCAGGTTTGTAATGTTCAACTATTGGTAATATTTTTTATTTCTTATTGTAACCTCAACTTTTATCTGTTTACTGTTTTTCCTTCCTAAGAACCAGCCCTCGGGTTCAACTTCAATTGGAGCCATTGCTTCATCTACAGTTGGACTGTCAGAGGTATGTCATTTGTTTACATGTTTTACATTATATTGTAGTGAATGATGAATCCTGAGTAATTTTAATAGTGTTTCAAAGTACATTCTTTTCACAACTTAAAATGTGAAGTAATATATATTATGGACTTATGGTAAAGTGACTAGTGCCAATTATTTATGCCTTTATTCTAACTTGCATTATTTTGCTTGTAAAAACCACAAATGCAATCTTTGTCCTGATTCTGGACTTGGTCCTGATATCTTTCTGTAATTATGTTGCAAAGGTAAATTCCTATTTCGAGATCTCCTTGTCCATTTTCCATTGTCGATTCTCCTCCATCTGACTTTAAAAAAGAAGAAAAAAATGTTTTGCCTTCTTTTTATGTATTAGTTTCACATAATTACATTTTTCATGATTTTCAAATGTTTCAGCATTCACCTGTATTCATGGATTTCATTGTTTTTTGCAGAATGAACCACAGCCAGGCAATGATAGTTTGAGAAAACTGTTGAAGGAAAAAGCCCCAAATCTCCTCTTGGAGTTCGAATCATCAGGCAGTCTTTCCATCACGTCACGAAAACTGCTTGTTAAAGTATCTGTGAGCCATCTCGTGGAACAGAAGGGATTGTAAGTATTTCAAAATACTCGTATCTACACCTGTACACACACTGCAGTCCAAAAGTCTGACTGATGGCTTTCATTTCAACCAAGCAGGGGCACACCAGACCCCCTCCAATTCTCATGTAAGAAGAAAGTCTTGAGGAAATGGGTGGAGTCCGGTGTGGCTCTGCTTGGTTGGAATGAACCTGTAACTAGGCCTATCACGATAACAATTTTGATGGACAATAAATTGGTTCACAAACATAACCAATACATGATGCCTTTGATTCTAATACAAAAACCAAATAAGCAATTTCTACATTTGTCAATTTCACTAAGTCATGCATTATGAAAGTTAACAGAATTAAGTCATTTGACCTTGAACTGTTGACTTTTTGCATTTGTTTCTTAAAAAGAAACTCTTTTACGCCATGATTATTATAATGCAATTTACATCATTGAATATGTCAGACCTTTTGTTAATGCAGAGTTTTAAGATAAGATTACAGTTATGGTATCTATATTAAAATGTATCATACAGTTAATCATACTTTTGTCTGTTATTTAGCTATCCCTCAAAGGATGACAAAATACTTCTGGCTAGAAGTATAGTAACAGTCTTTCCCTCGCTAAAGATAAACTACCAGGAAAAAAATGAAGGATTTGTGAGTATATTTACACACGTGTGTGTGTGTGTGTGTGTATAATATATACACATGTATAACTGTTCTTTTTTTTTTTTATTGTCTAGGAGCATTTCTTTGACCCAGTTTCCCATTGTGGGTTTATTGAAATGAGGCTGAGGAACCTCCGCAGAAGTCTTCACGAAGATCAGCGGCGATACCGGAAAAGAGTTCGTTGTAGTGTACCCGATCCTGATGTCATAGTTACCCTTCACATGGCAGAGCAGGAGGCAGAGGCTACACTGGAGTGGACATCTGCTATTAAAAGGATGAAGCCCATCCCTGAGAACATTGCAACAATCAAAATGGGCATGGATAAAACATTCACAAGTCGGAGGCTTTGGATTTCCACAGAGTCTCCCACAATGCAGGAAATTGTCGCTCACTATCCACGCTTTATTGACCTACTGTGCTTGGTAAACATTACATCTTCTTAACCAATAATTGTGTTCTCTAAATGTATCATTGGACATGGTAACAAGAGAATTTGAAATGGAGATGGAAACTGCTCTGAAAAAGTTTAGATTTGAAAGTGTCTGTCAATTCTTACAATTTGTCTCTATGAAAACTTAATATAGCAAGGTTGGCGTGTCAGTATGTATCTATTATTGAAACTGTGAAGTTTTTATTTGGAAATGAAAAGCTGCAAAGACTTTATAAAGACTCCACAAAAAGTGAGGATGGAAAGATGCAGGATTACTGTGATGGTCTACATTTTGCTCAGCATCCATTGTACATGCAATACCCTAATGCTTTGCAAATTCAGCTATATTTTGATGATGTCGAAACGACCAATCCTTTGGGGTCAAAGACAAAAATTCACAAAATGGGGGCTGTTTATTTCTGTTTGAGGAATCTTCCTGCAGAAATGAATTCCTCTTTATCAAATATTCACCTGTGTCTTCTCTTTAATTCTATTGACCGAGAGACTTATGGTTTTGCCAAAATATTAGAACCTCTTTTGGAAGATTTACAAATACTTTAAAAGGATGGAATTCAGGTTGAAATTGACAGCCAGAATGTTGATCTCCGTGGAACAATTTGCCTTTTGACTGCAGATAATCTTGCTTGTCATTCACTAGGAGGATTTTTGGAGAGTTTCTCAGCCAACAAGTTTTGCCATTTTTGCTTAACTTGCAAGCAAAGTGCCCAACATGTCTTTGATGATGATCACCAAGAAACCCGTGACAAGATAAACTATAAACACCATGTCAGCCTGAAGAACCCTTCTCTGACGGGTATAAAAGAGGATTCTTGTTTAAATTCACTTGAGTACTTTCATATCACTGAAAACGTATGTCCTGATGTAATGCATGATATTTTAGAAGGTGTGGGTCCGTTAGAAGTAAAGCTGATGTTACATAATTTCATTTATGAAGAGAGACTATTTACATAAGAGCATCTTAACGACAAGATAGTTAGCTTTGATTATGGCTATTCTAACACTAAAAACAAACCAAGTGTCATCCTTAATCTGAGGACATCAGATAATCCCATAAAACAAACAGCCAGTCAAATGTGGTGCCTCTTGCTTTTTCTGCCCTTTTTGATAGGAGAGCATCAGGGACGTGCAGTCAGGGGAGGCAGGGGAGGCAGAGCCTCACCTGCCATTATTGGAAACTAATAATTATTTTAGTTTAAATATATAATTTATATCCACTGTCCTATGCTTTTAATGTATATTCGGCACGGTTCCCATCAGTTTTGATCATTTCTGAAGTCAAAATCGCCGAAATCCCGTTATTCCTATTCAAAGAGACGAGGTGAGGCAGCGCTCCTGCGTGCCTCACCCCAGACCGCTCCCTCACAGTGTGTGTGTGTGTGTCTGAGTGCACTCAGCTCGTGCAGTTGATATATCACCGTTTGTTTCAAATATCCTGCTTTAAAAACATTTTTTAAACTCCTCTTAGTGTTTAGTAGTGTATTGCACGTATGTGTGTACAATTTATATTTAGTTTAAGTCTTTTGATCGTAGATGAACACACAAGGAAAAAGCTTGGCGTGAGGCAGGCGGTATCTGTGCCTCACCGCTAGGGGTGATAGTGAGCATAAAGTTCATACCAGAGTTGCTAACAAACAATCAGCCCAAAATGCTATTTCTTTTGCTGGAAAATGGATGATTTGAATGAAGATTTTTTTTCTCAATTGGACTTTCAAACAAAGAAAGAATTAATATAGACTGGGAGACCACCACTGGACTTACGAGGTTAGTCCGGCTGCGGGGGAGGAGTTTGTTAATCTGTGTTTTATGTTGAACATTGACAGATACCGGCAAAGTAGTGCTTTTCCGAAAAACACTGATTCAAACACTGCTCAAGAGTTCTGCAACTTGTTTAAATTATTGTTTATGTTCCTCGCGTCTCTCTCTCCTCGCGTCTCTCTCTCCTCGCGTCTCCGTCTCTCTCTGCTCCTCGCGTCTCCGTCTCTCTGCTCCTCTCTGTCTCTCTCTGCTCCTCGCGTCTCCGTCTCTCTCTCCTCTCTGTCTCTCTCTGCTCCTCTCTGTCTCTCTCTCTGCTCCTCGCGTCTCCGTCTCTCTGCTCTGCTCTCTCTGTCTCTCTCTGCTCCTCTCTCCTCGCGTCTCTGTCTCTCTCTGCTCCTCGCGTCTCCGTCTCTCTGCTCCTCTCTGTCTCTCTCTGCTCCTCTCTGTCTCTCTCTGCTCCTCGCGTCTCCGTCTCTCTGCTCCTCTCTGTCTCTCTCTGCTCCTCTCTCCTCGCGTCTCTGTCTCTCTCTGCTCCTCTCTCTCTCGCTCTCTCTCTCCTCGCGTCTCCGTCTCTCTGCTCCTCTCTGTCTCTCTCTGCTCCTCTCTGTCTCTCTCTGCTCCTCTCTGTCTCTCTCTGCTCCTCGCGTCTCCGTCTCTCTGCTCCTCTCTGTCTCTCTCTGCTCCTCTCTCCTCGCGTCTCTCTCTCCTCGCGTCTCTCGCACCTGCGCTTCTTAAAGATGTTGTTTGATGCGGAGCAGAGTCAGCAGCTAGATTTGTTGTGAGATTATTAAAAGAAGCTGGTTCTCTTATCTTTACAGTATATAAAGTTTGTGGATGTCATTGCATTGGTGATTAAATGCTATTTTATTTGAATAATGATTGTAAATCTGACTTTTAAAGTCAGTGCCTCCCCAATCACAAACCTCACCGCACGTCCCTGGAGAGCATGTAAGTGAAGATAATCAACATTGGAAATTGTTTATCCTCTTAAGAGAAATATGCAACATAGTTTTTGCACCTGTAGTGACCCCTGGACTTGCAGTGTTTTTAAAGCAGTTGGTTATAGATCACCACCATCTTTTCAAAAGTCTTTACCCAGACAGGCAGCTCACACCAAAGCACCACTTCATGACTCATTATTGGCAAATGATTATTAAATTTGGCCCACTTGTAAGGTTTTGGTGCATGCGTTCCGAAAGCAAGCATGGGCCCCTTAAAAAGCATGCCCATGTTGTATGCAATTTTAAAAAATATTTCAAAAACATTAGCTCATAAAACTCAACTGCAGAGTATGTTTAATTGGAAGTTTAGTGACCCAATTACAAAGAAAATCCAAGTCCCAAACAGCTATGCAATCACAATTGCATCTTTAGAAAAAAATGAATTGTTCCTTGATCAGTGGAAAGCTATTGACTGTGATGTTAGTCCATGTAGTACAATTCATGTTGCTCATTCTGTTTGTGTTTTTGGTCAAACATTTAGAGTTGGTTGTGTGGTTGCTTTGAAGTCTGATCACAGAGGAGAACCGCTCTTTGGAATCATGTGTACAATTTCACCAATGTGTGAAATGGAAGAAGTATTTGTTTTTATAAGAATCTTAACGGTAACTTATTTTGACGATCATTTATATTCGTATATGGTGGAATGAACTCATGAATATGAATTGATTTCTCTTAAGAAACTAGGGGACATCAGACCACTGGACTTATTAACATTTTCAGATGAAAAATTATATCTAAATCCAAGATACAAAATACTTGTATAAACGTGTTCATGCTTGTTTCGTATTGGTTTTTTGTAGCAAAACAAGAGTTTGTCATGTATCTTGAGATTAATTCCAGACATTTAGTTCATGATTATTATTTTTTTGACTATTTGTATGAATTGTTTAACACAAGTGAAAAACCTCACTTCAGTTCAATGTCTTTTAGAATTCTGTATAATAAATATATTTGAATACATTTTTTAAAAGATCTTTTTTCTGGAATAAAACACAACATGTGTTAATTTTTACACATCTTTGTGCTGATTTATTTTAACACATCTGTGTGTTTAGTTAGGGACAACACAACATGTGTTTATTTCAACACAGCTACCGTGTTGGTGTATTTAACACATTTGTTGTGTTAATTGAACCAACACAGTGGTTGTGTTGAAATCAACACATGTTGTGTTGTCCCTAACTAAACACACAGATGTGTTAATGAATAACACAACATGTGTTATTTTTAACACATCTGTTTTAAGAGTGTAGTCTGTGTAACTGATCATTTAACCTGTGTTGTGTTAAAAAATATTTTTACATTTATTTTGTATAAATAGTAAAGAATTAAATTACACATGCTGTGCGCCACCGCTCACCGCTGCCGTACACGCGTCCACTGTATTGCATCTTTACAGCAGGTGTTTGACGTCAATATGCGGCGGATTTTCATAGAATAAGGAGCGTTTTGTTGCTTGTGACTCTTCACATTGCATTGCATTGCATTGAAGTACAATTGGACCAGTTGTGTTTCTGTAAGATGTGCACTGCGCGCCACAGGGATGTCACGTCATGTGAGTGAGTAGGCCTATAGTCTATGATGCCACAATCGGGCCAATTAAAAAAATAGCAATTGGACCTATTACTGATTGCCAGTGTTGGCCCATTCTCTGTTTTATTGGAGTTGGCCTGAGGCACATCAGTTTAAGTCGGGCCATCAACTGCAATACTAAGGTGAGCCGCGTTTGAGGCCATCGTCGGCAGGGGGCAATAAAACCTCACTCGGGCCGATCAATAAACACTGGGATTGGCGCTACTATTGCAAGTCTGCCTCGGCCCATTCAAAAATAACAATGTTTCCGCCGAGTCGGAGCTCAGCCGACACTGACGTGGCTAAGCCAGAGTTGGCCCGAGTGTCCTTGCTACCTGGGTTATTTGTCCCACAGAGGGGAAATGTCAGTGATTTTTTTTATTTTATTCTTAAAACAATGGAACCAGCGTTAGTCTTATTTCAACCATGGATTTAGCAAATATCTTACTTGGTCCATTGGCAAAACTTGCTTTAAGACCGTCAAAATGTTCGCTATACAATGTTGGAAAATGTCCATCTTTATTGGGCATTGTATGTTGTGCAGAAACAAATCTATCAGAATTGCATTTTTTAAAATATTTACCCATACATTTATCCTTTGACAAGCTACTGGTTGGTCCCGAGCTATTGGCTGGAGGCCCATGGACTAGATCCTCGAAAGGAACTGCTTTAATGTATACATAAATCTCCTCGAGTTTAGAGACCAGACCTGAACTCTTCAACCCTAGCTGCAGTACTGCGAGAGGCTAAAGCTAAAAATACATAGATACAAGATACATGCATATATAATACAAAAATAATACAAAAATAAAACCATGGCGTAAACCATTTTTAAAATTTCTCCTCTGTGGATTGAATAAAGGATATGTTCTCTTATCTAATCTTAAACTCTCCCACCTCTCTCTTATTTATGCTGCACAGGCGGTCATCAGCCTCCAGGGGGCGTCTTTAACACACAAAAGATCCTTGAAATAGACACTGCTGTAAACCGCGGGCTTCGAGGCACGAGACAAAAGTCTAACAACTATTGGCTGTATGTAGATGGACAATGTTAACCCTCGAGCTCAATGCAGCACGATATGGAAGCCATGTTGTAACTAATTACATTTCATTTATTTACTTATTTGATTTGTACAAGTGTAGACTCGACAGAGCAAACGTGTACTATAAATTACAATTACACATTTTATTAACATTATCAAAACTGAGAAAATGTACTCTCTGCAACACCTGGCGAAGGTTTTCTGTCTAGTATTTTTATGGTGCTGTTGTGGAGCATTCTCACTGGTTTTATGGTTGACGCTGTGGCCTGCATGGGACCAGCGATATAGTAACTGATTTCAGAAAAATAACATGGCTTGTAGAAAGATATTAGCTGCGTTGAAAGGTAAACAATCTCTAATTAATCTGAAGCTATATACACTTGATTTAGTGGCTTACACACGCTTCATAATGTGATCATCAAATTGCAGAGTCCAGAATTAGATTACATAGTTACATTTTCCAAGTAACTTACCCACCACTGGGCCACGGTGAGCTGGAAGTCGGCCATTTTGGATTGACATTCTGCCATCACTTTGACAGAACACGTCTCTCTCGTGAAAAGGACGAGATGACTTTCCTCGTCCCGTCACCCGAGCCTCCGCGGAGCCCCTTACCCCCTGCCCCTCGCCTCTCGCCCCCGTCCGGACGCAGGGGTGGAGAGGGCCCGGGAGCTGGGCATCTCCTGGGGCTGTATCTGATGTCGGCTGCTCAGGATGTGAAGCGACTATTAATCCCCTCATCGATTCACTTGTGGTGAGCGTCCCAACCTGCGGCGGTAACGCGAGCTGTCCGGACTCCGCCACTCGTCAGTCACCGGCTCACACACTCTGGGCTTTTTCAGACAAACGCTTGCGATCGGGTTAGTATGGATTATCTGCAAAGGAGACATTTGTGTTCTTAAAGAAATTAGTTATGTTTGTGTGAAAGATTTACTTTTGAATGGGCTTGAAATGTTAGAAAGTACTGAGTATCTCTGAAACAGTTGTTGTTTTGTGTTTTACGATCGGTATTTTTCTTGTATTTTTCTAGCAGTGAATGTTACTGCAGTACAGTGTTCATGGCTTTACACTGATCCAGACCAGAGCAGCGAGAATGGTCCCACCCAAACAGATCAAGCTTAAATCCACTGGAGGAATGCAAACTTTTTTGTTGTTGAAAAATGCTAATAAAGCATATAGAATTTCACTCTGAACCAGAGCAGAGAAAATGGTCTGAACCAAGCAGACACTTTAGTTCTCCAGACTTGTCCAGGGGCAGACAACACGGATTGTAAAACTATTTGGACGAGAATTGGTCTATTTTGATGCTAAATGTGAAATAACATGAGCACACCTGTGAGAGCTGAGGATAGCTTTCTCAATAACTACTTCAGAGCCACAGACACATTTTTGTGCCATAATGAAAAACAAATGTCAGTGCATAAATATAAAAGGATTCAAAAGCTTTATAAACATTGGGCCTCATTCACGAACGGTTCTTAGGAACAGATTTGTACGTAAATCCTACTTACGCGGTTTTTACGAAGAAAGTGGCATTCACGAATATTTCTCGTAACCAGAATTTCTCTTGGGCAAGTACAAATCCTACGAGTCCTCAGGAGCACTCGTACGCATTCAGTGCCGACATGTTCACACGCCGGGGTTGTCCTCTTTGGTGAAGTTGAATAAAAATACAACATTCCAGTGATATGTCCGTCATATCGATGTATGTATTTATTTATTTGTAGTAATCTTTATTAGTAATCTTTATTTATATACCGCCTTTTTCACTGCAGATCTGGCCTACTTTTTAATTCATTTTGAAATGAAATGTGCCAACGCTTTATCAAATACATTGGAAATCTTGCCGTGTATTAGTGACCCCTTCCTATTTATAGGGGGCATTTCTTTATCCACGGGCCACAGAACAACGGCATATATACTGCTGCTGCAGGAGGTTACTGGGTCCGCGCTGAGTCTCCGCGCTGGTCTCTCCTATGGATCTATACGGGTCTGCACTGGTCTCTCCCATATACGGGTCTGCACTGGTCTCTCTCCATACGGGTCCGTGATGCATGCTCCTGGATCCATACGGGTCCGCGCTGGTCTCTCAAGTCTGGTCTATGCGGTCTCTCTTCGGTCCGCGCTGGTCTCTGCGCACCGGTCTCTCCAGTCAGGTCACTCCAGTCTATGCGGTCTCTCCAGTCAGGTCACTACAGTCTATGCGGTCTCTCCTATAGGTCTGCGCTGGTTTCTGTGTGCTGGTCACTCCAGTCTCTCCTCGGGTCTGCATTGGTCTCAGCGCTGGTCCGCGCTGGATCTCCTCCCAGGGTCCAAAATATTTTGAGATTAATCTCAAAACATTTTGAGATTCATCTTTAAAATAATACATAATATATTTTTAAATTAAGCTCATAACATTTTGAGATTAATCTCATCATATTCTTAGATTAATCTCATAATTTTGCTAGTTCGACTTTATTATCATAATATTTCGCCTTTTAAGTCAACATTTTATAACTTTATTCTCAGTCTGGTAAAGGAAGAAGAAAGGGTGACTTTTTTGCTCCGTGTAACTCTGCTTTAGGCCTGTTGCTGTTTCCTCTGCCGTCTGCACACGGCCCTGCAGTCCCTTATATGGGCATTAATGGGCGGTTACTTATGCTAAGTACCTATGCTAATGAAGCACCTGGCACGCGCGCTGTATTTACGAGGAAATGGGATTCATCAATCTGAGAGAACAGCTGCGAACAATTCAGCGGCTTACGAGTGCGTTGATGAATCCCACGTGGGGACTTCTTAGAAATCTACTTAAGGACAACTTGAGAAGAAAGTTGAGTAGTTTCTTACGAAGTTATTCGTGAATGAGGCCCATTGTCTGTATTGGACAAGCAGAAGTTGGCTGGACAACACTATGAAATTGTGTTTATAATCTCACTGGTATTTTGGGTTATCAAGGCATAGGGCCACATAGAATGACACAGCGGGCCGCAATTGGCTCTCGGGCCTTAGTTTGGACATGTCTCGCTTACATGCCTCTGGTTCATCCGGGCGCTTCACCACCTCGGCCGCTGTTGCCCTTTACTACTATTGGGCCTCATTCACGAATAACTTCGTAAGAAACTACTCAACTTTCTTCTCAAGTTGTCCTTAAGTAGATTTCTAAGAAGTCCCCACGTGGGATTCATCAACGCACTCGTAAGGCGCTGAATTGTTCACAGCTGTTCTCTCAGATTGATGAATCCCATTTCCTCGTAAGTACAGCGCGCGTGCCAGGTGCTTCATTAGCATAGGTACTTAGCATAAGTAACCGCCCACTAATGCCCATATAAGGGACTGCAGGGCCGTGTGCAGACGGCAGAGGAAACAGCAACAGGCCTAAAGCAACAGGCCACGGAGCAAAAGAGTCACCCTTTTTTCTTCTTTTACCAGACTGAGAATAAAGTTATAAAATGTTGACTTAAAAGTCGAAATATTATGATAATAAAGTCGAACTAGCAAAATTATGAGATTAATCTAAGAATATGATGAGATTAATATCAAAATGTTATGAGCTTAATTTAAAAATATATTATGTATTATTTTAAAGATGAATCTCAAAATGTTTTGAGATTAATCTCAAAATATTTTGGACCCTGGGAGGAGATCCAGCGCGGACCAGCGCTGAGACCAATGCAGACCCGAGGAGAGACTGGAGTGACCAGCACACAGAAACCAGCGCGGACCTATAGGAGAGACCGCATAGACTGTAGTGACCTGACTGGAGAGACCGGTGCGCAGAGACCAGCGCGGACCGAAGATAGACCGCATAGACCAGACTTGAGAGACCAGCGCGGACCCGTATGGATCCAGGAGCATGCAGCACGGACCCGTATGGAGAGAGACCAGTGCAGACCCGTCTAGATCCATGGGAGAGACCAGTGCAGACCCGTCTAGATCCATGGGAGAGACCAGTGCAGACCCGTATATGGGAGAGACCAGTGCAGACCCGTATAGATCCATAGGAGAGACCAGCGCAGAGACTCAGCGCGGACCCAGTAACCTCCTGCAGCAGCAGTATATATGCCGTTGTTCTGTGGCCCGTGGATAAAGAAATGCCCCCTATAAATAGGAAGGGGTCACTAATACACGGCAAGATTTCCAATGTATTTGATAAAGCGTTGGCACATTTCATTTCAAAATGAATTAAAAAGTAGGCCAGATCTGCAGTGAAAAAGGCGGTATATAAATAAAGATTACTAATAAAGATTACTACAAATAAATAAATACATACATCGATATGACGGACATATCACTGGAATGTTGTATTTTTATTCAACTTCACCAAAGAGGACAACCCCGGCGTGTGAACATGTCGGCACTGAATGCGTACGAGTGCTCCTGAGGACTCGTAGGATTTGTACTTGCCCAAGAGAAATTCTGGTTACGAGAAATATTCGTGAATGCCACTTTCTTCGTAAAAACCGCGTAAGTAGGATTTACGTACACATCTGTTCCTAAGAACCGTTCGTGAATGAGGCCCATTGTTTGTAACTTTTTAAATTATGTATTTTTCTGTATGGTTGGATGGACGTGTTTCTGCTGCTGGACTCCTGAATCAATAAAGTATCTATTTATCAAATACTGTGAGATCTGGATGCAATGGTCCCGGATTGGTCTTCCCACTGAGTCTACCTCGGTCCGAAGGAACAGTCTTCCTCCAGGTGCAGAGTCAAGATGTTTTATTGAAGATCAGGGAACGGGAATATTTCAGACTTCAGAGGTGGACAGGGAGGTTTAAGCTTTGACACGGATGAGTGACAGGTCGTGGAGGGAGTATCCGGATACTATTGAGGGTGAATGGCAGGTGCGTGGGTGGTGAAGGTATGTACTGTGCGCATGGGTGTGGTTGTGTTGCATTGACGCACACTGAACTTATACAAACAGGATTAATGATGAATGGCATGACACACACATACACACAAATATGCACACAGGCCCACACACATAGACAAACACACACGCACACATACACACACGCACATGCACGCACACACATGTCCACACACGCATGCATGCACGTACGCACACACACTCACACACCTACACATGCATCATGCATATACACACAGACACACACACCCACATATACTCACAAACACAGACAACGGCACACACAGACACACACACCCACATATACGCACACAGGCACACACATACACACACACCCATGTATACTCACACACACAGACAACGGCACACACAGACACACACATGCACGTACGCACAGACACACACACATCCACACACGTATACACACACACACATACAATATACACAAACACATATACACACACAAACACACAGACACACACACAGGCTCCTTCCACTGTAATAATAATCTCTGAACATTGCTACGAGAGACAGCCCCTGGGGAACTATAATATGAACAGATGCATCATGGGAAATGTAGTGCCAGACTTCATCATTCACATTTTAGAAGGTGTGTTTTTTCACAGATGTTTTGTGTGTTTCTGGGGGAGACTCGCACTCGAGGTCAGCTGACAAATGAGGTACAAAACTGGGGCTCGTGTTAGCGTTACCCACACGACGGAATGATCTGGAAGAGGAGTGCGGAGCAGACCAGGGTTGAAATACTGCATAGAATGGAGTCGTTCATGTACTTCTAACCTTGTGTATTTGTGTACTCGTCTGGTGTACACCGGAGACTCCCTATGTATTCCAATGGGGTTTTACTGCAAAATACCCTCATGCTGCTAAAATGTACAGATGTTAGCAG